ACATAACTCGCCTCCCCCGCCCCCACTCCTCCTCGGGAGGGGGGGGGAGGCGGGTCTTCTGCGTGAGTGTGTACATGCGTTTTCGTGCAATCGTCTTTTTGTCACCCCAGTCTCACTCCGATAAATGCTTCCTTCTCGTCCGGTGTACACCTCCGTGCCGGGGTGCGCACCGTCTTTCTCTCTGGCCCAGTTTCCACCGAGACCAATTGCCTCATGTATTGAAACCTCCACTACCAACACCGCTACTTGCATACTTTCACAATGCTAGCTCTATCTCCGGCGCTCTCTCTCTCTCTCTTTGCACGCACAGTTTAATTTGAGTTGATCTAACGCCTTGACGACCACCACCACCATCCCTACCCTCCTCTTCCCCTATTTTGCGCCCACATCCTCTAACCTGTGAACAAAAGTTTTCCTTTTTTCTTATTATTTAAATCTTTGGAGTATGTTGCTCTTTACACTAGAGCTTGGGCTGCTTAACTTTGCCAGCCGCACCAGATGGCTGGGGAGCTCGACCGGTACATGGGCAGAGGGAGGGCGGTTGACACTCGAATTCACCACCAGCCGTGACTTGGAAGATTGCCAACCGACGGCATAATTCGGCCCTTCTCGGGATTGAGGATCAGGCCCCTATGGCACTGTCATGCATGTGAGATTCGAGCCCCCCTCCCCCCCCCCATGGAGGCCGGAAGGCAGGCCGTGTGAGGTACGCGCAGACGGGCTGTTCGGCTTCACCAGATACCGCGCTCGAGTCCACCTCCGGTAGTTCCTCATTGTCTTGCCATAGAAGCCTGACGAATGGAAGAGGAGAAAGTGCGGCAGATGCTGTTCAAGTCTTGAAGAAGGAGACACGATCGCCGGGACAAGAGCTTTATTAGCCTGACGTTTCGGATTCCTGCTCGAAACCATCATCAGAGACAGGGTGGTTCATGCACAAGGGGCTGTAGTATTCATAGGATGCAGTCGCGATGCTACCGCATACCTATGAATATTCACGGCTCTCCCCTTCATCCGGGATCGTCGCACTTGGTGTGCTAATTGTTTGATGGCCGACATTCGCGTCGTTAGTTTCTGCAATTCCATCACGTGCGTTGGATGTTGGTGTGATGGTTGCTCGACCATCTGACCCACCGACCCTGGTGTTGGGAAAAGTGTTCACCTGTGCGCTCTCCGCGTGGCCAATCCCTCCGCCTAGGCGAAGTCTCAGCACCGAGTATAGAATGGGAAGATCATTGCACTTGCTAATGGATTGGGGGCCAGTAAACCATGCTTCAAGTAGCTCCCGGCTGCCGCGGTTGTCACCTCTTGCGAGAATTTCGGCCTTGTCGAATTTAAATGTGTGGATGGATCTCTTCGAATGAGCTGCAGTTTGAGAACTGGCGTCATTTCTCCGCACCGCTGCAGCGTGTTCGGCCATTCGCGTTCGGAACTGTCTTCCGGTTTCTCCGACGTAGTTGCTTTGTCCGCAACTGCACCTGATCCGATAAACGACTCCAGACGTTTCTTGCCGTGCAGCAGGTCTTTCGGTTTCATTACTAGACGCCTGATGGTTACCTCCGGTCTGTGTGCAACTCCGAAACGTCCGGCTAATAAAGCTCTTGTCCCCGCGATCGTGTCTCCTTCAAGACTTCTTCCTGGGACTCGTCTCTTCGCTTCTATTGGCTGTTCAAGTCTGCTCCCCTATAAACTAATCAACCTACAAGTCGCCACTGCTGTACCCACTCCATCGAACTATCATGTAGGAGGCGATCACAACGCCTTTTTGTCCGATTCTAGTCGCGTACGGTCGACGGCAATTACAAGTTGCCTAAATTGATAGGACAGAGCGCGTGTAGGCAACTCGATGACCGGAACAAAGCCTTAGTCACCGCCAGAGACCTACGTTTGGTCGGCGCAGTTCGACCAAACAACAAAGAGGTGAGTCACGTGCATCCGGCGCAAGGCTATTGGTGCGCTGACCCGCCAGGAAGCCGGCGTTAGAGCAGTGACGATTGGGGTGCCGAACAGGGGGACCACTGTCATACTCTCTGTGCGCACACGCGGTTGCGACCCTGTGGACTCCACTGATTGTCTTCGGCCGTGGCCTGTCTCAGAACTGGTGACTGAGTTGACCGTCATAAAAATCGTTGTTTAGGAGGCAGTACTCTGGAAGAAGTGTGCGACGACATATCTTTTGGGGTGGCTAGGCGCACCACAATCTGTTTGTCGG